ATTAAGAGTTATTCTCTCTTGAAAAATGTGTGTATTTATGCATGTGTGCTATAATTTTATAGAGATCTTCTTTTTCTTTTGTGCTTTGTATTCGTAGGTATGCATTCCTCAGCAGCAACTGAGCTGTTTGTTACTGGATCTTTGCCGACTACTGGAACACTTCCACCATCCGCCCTTTCCACTTATCAGCATCCTACCACCTTCAGCAATAGGAACTTTGCTACCACCTCACCTTTGGTGCTTCAGGACTCAACTTTTAACACTACAGCAAATGGAATTTTAAATCCTCATGATCCATTGCTCCAAATCAAGACTTCCCAGGGAACTGTTCCAACTGCATTGGCATTTGAGCGCCTGGGCAGTTCTGCATTAAGCAACAGCATACCACCTCAGTCTTCAACATATCGTTCAGCTCAAGAGTCTGCACCCCATCTTTTACAACCTCAGTTTAGTTTGTTGCCTTCTGCACTTGGAGGAGCCCAGCAAACTCCTCAAGCCTACAGTTCAACTCTCTTTCCTAGTTCCACTGCTTCCATTGAAAGAGCGCTTCTTCGAGAATGTAGTGTTATTAAACACCATCAGCGGCCTTCTGGTACCCAATCTAATCAGGCACAACTGACTGGTTCACAGCAGCATTCCTTACAGAATTATTTAGCAAATGCAAGTATAGTTAATTTTCAGGAAACAACCAGGCAGTCATCTTTATCCTGTAGCTCAATTGGAGATTCTACTCAGGTGAACAATGAAGGATTGCAGCAGAAGACTTCCCAAGTCTCAGTGGAACTTGCTCAGTCTTATTCATCTGCAATTCCATCACCAGGGTACCCTCCTACTACAAAAGTAAAAAACTGTTCTGTAAAACAACCACCAAGGTCAACTAAAACCTCTAAACCTCAAAATATAATTCCTCCTTTGCAAACACTAAGCTATTCCAAACCCTTACATAACCAGAGTTCTGTAATACCAGGGCAAGCACAAATCTATTCTACAGCGCAGCTACCAAGCCTTTTATCAGTTAGTCAGTCCCAAAATTATGGTGTAGTACAGCCACATAATGTGCCATCTATTGTTCATTCACAAGTTTATAGATCTAACAAGGTTGAGAAGTTGCCATCCTTATATAAAACACTGACTTTTTCTGGGTCATCTCAGACTGTAACTTCTGAAAATCAGACAGTTAGTTATTCTTCTAATCAGCAACAGGTATTATCTTCAGGTACAAATGAGAATTACCCTGCTCAAACAAGAGATCTTGCTTCAGTTAGTCAGTCTCAAAGTTACTCATCTGGTCACTCTCAGGGTTTATCACCAGTTAGCCAGTCACAGGTTAGCTATTCATCTCAATCACAAGTCTTATCAGTTGTTAGCCCTTCAGAGAACTATGCTTCAGGGCAGTCCCTAACTTTAACAGCCCCTTCTCTTTCTTATTCTCCTGCCTCTCGGGCTCAGAACTTGCCAGCAACTGGCCCAACCCAGAATTACATTTCTCTGCATTCTTCTCAGAATACTCAGACACAAGAGTCATCATCTCCCCAGTCGCAAAAGTATTTGCCTGTTGTCCAGTCAACATCTTTTGCATCGTCTACTCATTGTCAGACATTACAGAATAGCTTACCTTCCCCTGATCCAGAGTCTTTTTCTGAAAGGAAACTTGACTCAAGTGTTTATACATCTTCAAAGCAAGAGGAAGAATTTCCAATGCAACAGTTACAGGTGTTACAGCCACAAACATCTCTTGAGTCATCAACTCAAAGGATATCTGATGGAGAAATTAATTCTCAAGACTCCATTTATAAGGTATCAAAGGCAGACGACAGGTACTCTCAGAGTGTAATCAGAAGTAATTCTCGTCTTGAAGATCAAGTTGGGATTTCTCTACAAGGATCGAAAAAAGATGAGAGTGTGGTTGGATCAGTGTCACAACTTGGCCAACAAATTGGTCAGGTCAGTAACACACCACCTCTTGATATTAAGAAGGCACCTAATTTAATGCAGACTCCACAAATAAGATTGAATGCTAAAGACCTAAATGAACAACATTCTCTTATGCATAAGGTACATGAAGCCAAAACCCAGGAACAGCAAGATCAGATAATTAATTCTTCATCTCAGATTCAAATTCCAACTCATACTGGGCCTGGACATCAGGTTTCTGTTCCTAATACCCAGGTCCTTTTAGATTCTGCTTGTGATTTACAAATTCTTCAGCAGTCATTACTGCAAGCAGGTTTAACACAAGTAAAGTCATCTTTACAAGGACAGCGTGTTCAAAGTCCTCAACAAATAGTACATCCTTTCCTTCAAATGGATGGGCATATTATTCAGAGCAATGGCGATCCTCCCCAGACACAACTCCATCCCCCAAACTCTGAAATTATGAAAATGGACCTCTCTGAGTCTTCAAAACCATCACAGCAGCACCTAACAACAAAGGACCATTTTAACGAAACAAATCAACATGATTCAAAGAGTCAGTTTGTTTCTCTTGGATCAATATGTTTCCCAGAGGCAATGCTTCTCAGTGATGAAAGAAATATGTTATCAAATGTAGATGATATCTTAGCAGCTACAGCAGCTGCGTGTGGCGTTACACCTGAGTTTCCTAAGTCAACATCAAATGAAACCATTCAAAGTGTTGAAGGTGGTGATTCTAAATCTCATTTTCAGCAGGCATTAGATGTTAGACATGTGACTTCAGATTTTAACTCCATAACAGCCACAGCGAGAAAGCCACAAAATATAAGTGAAATTTCTTTAAATGGAGGTCAGATTACCATAAACCTTTCACCAGTACCTACCCTTCAGTCAAAAATTACTCTTGATCAAAAGCACATTGAAGCACCTGATCAAAATATAACCTCAAAAGTAATTTCATCTGTGGTTGGACCAAGTCATGAAGACCATGATCAAAGTTCTGGCTCCATCAAAAACCAGTCTGCTACCAATCGTAAATCTGAAGAAAACAGTGAAGTTCCCATTGATAATATATTAAATACGGACAGAAATCAAGAACTTGCCTCTAATAGGAGAAGTATAAATGGAGAAAGTGCTACCACAGAGGGTGAATTTACCTTAGGACCTGATGACGGTGGTGTGTCAGTGAACCCAGCTAGGAGGGCCCTTGCACTCATGGCCATAGCACAACCTGGGGATGCAGTCAATGTTAAGATTGAAGATGAAAACCAAGATTTACTGCATCTTAACCTTCAAAAGAAAAAAAATAAAGGGAGGGGGCAAGGTAAAGAAGACGACAACAATAATCAGAAACAGGTGAAAAGACCTACCCAAGGCAAACGTCACAATCCAAGGGGAACAGATATGTACGCACCATACACTCCTCCTTCCTCAGAAAGCAGCCATGATGGTTATCAGCATCAAGAAAAAATGAGACAAAAGATCAAAGAAGTAGAGGAAAAACAACCAGAGGTCAAAACAGGATTTATTGCCTCTTTCTTAGATTTTCTGAAATCTGGGCCCAAGCAGCAATTCTCTACTCTTACTGTACGAGTGCCAAATAGGACTAGAAGGCAGGGGTCCCAGATTGTTCGAACATTTTGTCCCCCACCACTTCCAAAGACTTTGTCTGCAACACCTGTGTCTTTAGTGTCTGAAACTGGGGGTGCTAGTCCATCGGGAAAAGTTGATAATGAACTTAAAAGCTTAGAACATTTATCTTCATTTTCATCTGATGAAGATGATCCTGGAGTATGCAGTCATGATATTTATAAAAGCATCTCTTCTACCTTAACTGCTTTGGATGCTACTTCTGATAAAAAGAAGAAAACAGGTAAAGTTTTCAAATATATATTCATAAATATGTCATATTACTGTTATTTTTCTGGCTGTAGCCTGAATTTTAAGCTCAGCATCAAAAAGCTCTGTAAATAAATTTTTAGAACAAAAGGCATAGGTAGGTGTCTTATATGCATGGGTAAGGATTGTTTTCTCCAATGATTGTTGCCTGTAGGAAAGTGATTCATTTTCTGTTCTGGATTTTCTTGGCTTTTTTTACATGTAGCGTAGCTTACACCATATACTATCCAGAGGTGAGATATCTTGGGTTAGTTTATGGCGATGAGGTTTTGTATTGGGGACCCTGTGGTAGAAATAACCTGGCAGAATTTCTTGGTAGACCAGTTTTATCTGAAGATGAAAATAATTTTGTGCTGGATGCAGACCATTTGAGTATGTGCTTTGTTTTATTCTCCACCTTCTTTTTTCCATGAAAACTTACATGTATTATTGAATGACAGCAACACTACTTTACACCTATATCTCAGCATTATGTTTCTTAGTAAGAATAACTGTAACACCATAAGTTGTATTGTTATTTTAAAAAACAGGCTATATGGTCAGATAAATCTGATTTTTACTTTGAATTCTGCCATGCACTAAACGTGTGACTATGGACTAAGGATTTATTGTGATCCTCAATGTTTGTAAAATGGAGATAGTGAGAACTATCTTGTAGGATTGTGTAAAAAGTGTGTTTGTTTATGTGATTTTTCCCAATGTGATGCTGTAATATTATAAATAGTAATTGTTGCTCTCAAAAACAACAAAAAACTCACTTGCTTGAAGGAGCACTGCTTTATATAAACAGTTGACAGTTAAATATTTAAGTTACTATTTTAAGGAATATACTAAGGAAAAAGACTTATAATATACCTACCACCTCTGTGCCAAAAACTAGTAGCAGTGTTTTGAGGTATGCCTTGATAATCTCCAGTATACAGATGATGTCGCTAATAAATATATTGACCATGTCCCCCCGGTGACAGTGAGCTGGACTCTGAACCCCAAGACTGTTTGTTTCTAGACCTTTACATTCCTATTCTTTTCTTTTGTATAAAGAGAAGGGTGATTTATGAGTTAACCTTCTTTTGTCTTCTTTGCTTTTGGAATAGGTTAACCTTAACTACTAAAGAGACATAAAACAGTTCTTATCTCAAGTAATCTATTAACGTAAATGTCGGATAGCATAAATCTATGGAAATCTTACTTTGTTAGGAGAGAGGAATTAGGGTTTAACACTCTTCTCCCATTTATAATATTTTGCTATTATGATTGCATTCGTACAACAAACATTTTGTAATCTCTAGACTAAAACTTTCTTTCAGATTACCATTGCATGTCATTTTTAAATTTTTTTTTTGTTATTATTTTTTGTGTGTATATTGTCAAATCGGATCTGACTGGTACAGGAGGAGATTGTCCCTCCTTCACCAGCAGAGCATCTAGTGGATTCGAACCGCTCATCTCTGGGATTGCAGTGCAGCTTCCTGCCAGTAGGCCACCAGAGCTCATCTGTATGTCATTTTTAGTGAAATATTTACCTTCAACCCAATTCCTGATGATTAGTGTTTGAAGTACCATCTTCCGCACTGACTCTTCTGCAAAAACTATCTCTTGCATAGTCTGTAGCTAATTTCTAACTAAAATTCTCTCCCCTATTCTCTCCAGCTAGTTCATTCTTCACACTGTCACAGCTGGGTTTCTCATTGTTTCTTAGACCAGTGAGCCCAGTTCACAATTATAGGCCTTTGAACATACTTTTATCTATCCAGCGTGCCCCTACCTTTTTGAGGCCAACAGATAGGCTCTTGGTTTCTCTTTCAAGGCCTTTGGCACAGTCATTTTATGGAAGTCACTCCTTGCCAAATTAGAATTCTTTTTCTCTGAATCCACACAGTATTTAATATTCACAAAAATAAGTTTACTTTGTATTTTAAGTTCTTTATATTTGTTTGTAAGTACATTAGACGATGAAAGTATTATGGCTCAATACTTGTGCTTTGGACTTCTAAGATCCAAATTCTGACTTAATAGTCACATGACTTTGTATCAGATGAGAGCATAGCTCATTTATAAAATTGAAATTAGGATGATGGTAATATTTACTATATAGTATCTGCCTCTGAGGTTCCAGAGGGAATTCAAAGACATCAAGCCTGACATAGTATTATTATTTTATTATTTTTTTTTATTTTTTATTTTTTTAATTTTTGTGTGAGTGTACCGTCAAATTAGATCTGACTGGTACAGGAGGAGATTGTCCCTCCTTTCCTGGCAGAGCATCTGGTGGACTGACATATTATTATTATCATCATCATCATCATCTATGTTTATTCAGTGGTATGATAGTTAAGTACTCAGCTGCTAACCTGAAGGTCTGCAGGAAAAAGACCTGGTGATAAGCTCCCATAAGATTACAGCTGAGTGCTCGCTTCGGCAGCACATATACTAAAATTGGAACGATACAGAGAAGATTAGCATGGCCCCTGCGCAAGGATGACACGCAAATTCGTGAAGCGTTCCATAAAAAAAAAAAAGGAAAAAACAAAGATTACAGCTGAGGAAACTATTGAGTCAGAATTGGTATATTTATCTTTGTATTTCCAAAACCTAAAACATAGGAAAACTAAAAGTTGAAGACCAGTTAGTTTTGACTCTTTAAACATGGTATATCTAAGGCTGTAAATCTTTGTGAATGCAAACTGCCTTATCTTTCCTCCTGCACAATAGCTGGTAGATTTGAACCATTGATTTTTTTGGTTGGCAGCTCAGTGTTAAATTAACTCTGCTGTGAGGTTTCCTTGAAACATAGCTGGTGCTCAACAAAAAATTGGACCCTAGGGGTGACTGTGGGTGAAAGTTAAGTAGATGGTTTTTGCCCTCTTAGTTTCATGTATTGAATTCTTAGGTTTTCACACACCCATCTAGAGTTAGACTGAGATCACAGAGGACATGAGTTGCCACAGGTACTCCAAATTCCATGATTCCAAGGTAGCAAGTATAAGGGGGGGGGGCTGTGATAACCAACCTCTGAACACTTGTAAATTTTCTAAAATGTAGGTATTTTACTAATTTTTATGTCTTTCTGCTGTAGCCATTTGTTGCATATGAAGATTTCTTTAATAATAGATGTTTCATTCTGTTTGTTGACTTTAAGTTATACCAAATAAAAATGTCTTTCTCTAAAAATGTTTTCTAGTCCTGTTGTTGTTGTTAGGTGTCATCAAGTCAAGTACGACTCATAACAACACTGTGAACAGATCTGAGCCCTGTCCTATGCCATCCTCACACTTCCTGACACAGAAAATATACAAAATTAATAATATTTGTCAAAGAATTGTCAAAAAATTGTTTGTCTATTCATTTCTCTTTTGTGATTGTATTATGAAGGAAATCAATGGAGCCCTGATTGAAGTCAGTGTGAGCTAAATATTAGACTCAGGAAAAAATGCTGCATGGTTTTCCAGCACTCATTTTTATATTTATAATAAGGCAAAAAGTGGCATATATAAAGAAGGGAAAATGGGCTGGTTAGCCTGCTGAAATTAGGGGACCAGATCATTCTGACTTATCTTTATTCCTTTTAAATTGAGTTCAAGTACAGTACAAAACTGATTTTGGGGTTGCTAAAATGTTACTGAATATGAATCAAATAATTTTCTGTTACATTGCCAGTGGAATCACTCTGTTAACTAATGAGAAAGTCTAATTACAGTTCTTTTTTCATTAAAGTGAGTGATACATTTTATGAAAGAAGAGGCCAAGCTAAGTAACACAGTCCTCTTTCTAATCTATGCCTTTTTAATATCCTGTCTTAATTTACAGACTGATACTTCCTGTCTGGCACTGCATAAAATGGAGTGCAAGCATTCTTTGTTTTTATCTTTGGAGGAAAGAAAGACATTTTTTACTATTAAAAATGATGTTGACTATAGGTTTTTGTTTTTAGTAATCCTGTTTTTGGTGAAAGTTTACACAGCAAATTAAGTGCTCATTTAAAATATTCTACACAATTTCTTAAATGGGACCTTACTTTTTTTAAAATTGGCTACACGTCTTGGATGTGCTCACCAAGTTGTGCCAAGAAATCTGGAGGACAACCACCTGGCCAACTGACTGATAGAGATCTATATTTGCTCCCATTCTGAAGAAAGGTGACCCAACAGAGTGCGAAAACTATCAAACAATGTCATTGATATCACAAGATTCTTCTGAAGATTATCCAAAAATGACTGGAAAAGCATATCACCAAAGAACTGCCTGAAGTGCGGGGTGGGTTTAGAAGAGGCTGTGGTACTAGGGATAGTATAGCTAATGGTAGGTGGTTCTTGGCTGAAAGCAGGGATTACTAGAGGAATATCTGTCTGTTTCATTGACTATGCAAAGATGTTTGACTGTGTGGGCCACAACAAACTGTGGCTGACTCTGAGAAGAATGGGAACCCCAGAACACTTGATCGTGCTAATGTGAAACCTATACTAGGACCAGGAGGCAGTGGTAGAACAGAGCAAGGAAACACTGCATGGTTCAAAATTGGGAAGGGTGTATACCAGGGATGTGTCCTATCTCCGTATTCTTTTCAATCTATATGCAGAACAAGTTATCCAAGAGGCGGGACTCTATGAGAAGAAATGTAGCATCAGGATTGGAGGAAGACTCATCAACAGTCTGTTATACAGATGACACCACCCTATTTGATAAAATTGAGAAGGACCGCTACAGGTCAAAGACTGAAGCCTTCAATTTGGATTGAAGCTCCAAATAAAGAAAACAAAGATTCTCACCTGTGAGCTGATTGGCTGCATCATAATAGATGGTGAAGAGATTAAGATTGTTAACAGTTTTAGTTTGCTGGGCTCCACAATCAACACTCTTGGTACCAGCAGCCAGGAAATTAAAAGATGAATTGCATTGGGAAAATCTGCTGTCAGAGACTGCTCCAGAGTACTGAAGAGCAATGATGTCACTCTGAACACTAAGGTGCTCCTGATC